TTCTCAGGTTTGCCCGGTAACATATTGATGTTTATACATCATTCGATCCAGCAGAATCTCTGCTTTCTGAAAATGAAAGTTTGGTTGAAAAATTTTGCCTTCCCGAGGAGGTATTGTTATTTGATGCAAGCAACTAACTGATGCTAATTCAATGTTTCAACTTGAATTTTTCAATATTTCCAGCCGGTTCTTTCGATATTCAGTTCAATATTTTGGATTATATCACGGATCTGGTATGCGCTTCGTCAATTCGCGATCGTGCATCTCATCGAATCGTTGTTCAGTCCTGTTTATGGTGTGATGCTTCTCTTATGGCTATGTTTATGTTATTTTCTCAGTGATATAGCAGATTTGAAACTGAGATATAATAGAAGTGACCGTTCAATATCTAATCGGTTTGGATGTTTAGCCTATACAGTGACATTCCATGATGGCACCGAAGGGCATGCATGTGACAAGGCATCGAATTTCTATTTGGCGAATTGGGGTGAAGAAGGTTGGATGGGTACACGTACACCACATAGCACGGCGCTTATCGCGGATAATCTCGCTGAGCGACCGTGTCGGCACAATACCGCGAAATGTGCTGTGTAAGTGGATAATTTTTAGTTTATGCATTGAAAATATTTTGGTTTGACAANGTTCAAATTTGAACGTGAATCTACTTGTAGAAAAATGTATGCGAGTTGGGTTCGAGGCACAAATTTACTATTGGTGGTAATTGCGCAAGCGAATTTAGCATCAAGTGCATGCTACGATGAAACGCAATGCCCGTTGTCATCACCGTCCGAATTCAGATTTGGATTCTTTCAGGTTTATTCATATTAGCTACAATCTTTCACTATTCTTCAGGGAATGACATAGACAGATGCTCATTGACCATTCCTGCTGTAGTGTTGTGCTTCATTACGAAAGATATTCAAACTGCTTCTTTACTTTCGTTTCCTATTTTTGCTCTCTTTCTGTCTCACTGCTCTCATTTCCCATCTGTTGATGATTCGGTTTGTTAGAAATCCGCATTGATCGCTGAGTTACTGACTGTGAGATATATTACATCAGATTAGTAAATTTGACCATTTCTTTTCGTTCATCTGTGTTTTGTAGATTGCCGGTTTCGGATTATTGTAAGTTCGTGGATTTTTGTCATTGAATGAAGATGTGAACCTTCAATCGTTGATAAAATTCGTGATTGGCATCCACGAATGACCATTGTTCTAGTCATTTTACTCCATTTTTTACTCCACTNAGCTGGTTTGGCCATTCCAACCAACTGTATGGCAACAGACCGATTACTGAATCGAGCAATTCAACGCTGTGTTTCAGGTGGACAATGCATCAGATAAGCAACAGGTGATGAGTATGGAGCCTTCAGATCCGTTTGGTGAGAACAGTTACGAACGTAAATGCCGGCACGTCCGAGCCAAGCAACGGAAGGCACCATCCAAATGTGTTCGAACTGATGACGTACGCGATGTTCAGCTTCATTTCGTTAATCAAACACCGAACGAACGAACATTCAATGTGTTGTTCGTTTAGTGTGAAAAATTTTCAAATTATTCTTTAGAGTATTGGATCAGTTCTATTGCTGCTATCTTGTTATTTTAGTCTCAGCCTAACTCTTGACATTTGCGTCGAATGATTGATTATGGCATCCGTGTGATTGATGAGCTTATTACCTATCACTTTTGCCTAGTAGCACAAGTGAACCAATCGTCTGGCACCAGTGAATGATTTTTGATTTCTGAGAGAATTCACTGGATTATCTCGTTGCAAATTTTTTTTGTTCGACTCACCTCTAAACTGCCACAACGGCACAAAGTCACATTCCAGAGCTGTCTGTAATTGAAAAGCGATACTTTAAGTAAAAAATATCCCACAGTTAGGTTCACATCAACAATATTTATTTATTAATTATGCACCACTTATAACTCATCACAGGTGTGAACATTTCCACAAAGTATCGCTTTTCCAGTTGATCCTCTCAAAAGAGCCAGTCATTGTCAATCTTTACGAAGCACAAAATTTCCCGTCGATAGCTTCCCCCCACACAAACTCACATTTGGAGGTGTGCGATGAATATAAGCCCTCCTGCCGAACAGTTTCCTCTTTGAATTGAAATTCTTCATGGAAAATGGTGATTGATAAAAGCCGGCGGGGCTTATCCTCAGCAAAACACGGTTCATTCCCCACACTCAATCGAAAACTCATAAGACGTCTTCAGTATTGCTCTCACCACTTCAGTCATCAGTTTGATTGTTAGATGCGGTCGGCGTTGATTAATGAATCGCTTGAAATACCACCAAACAGACTGATTAGTGTACTTTGCGTTGCACTAATGAGTTAGCATCACGTTTCAATTTATCAACCCATCTCTTCACCCAGCGATCTTTCACTGTTTCTGAACATCAGAGAAAAAATCCTAGAGGCTAACGACGATAATATCACCTGATTTATTGACAATAATATCACCTGATTTATTGCACTCAGTTGTGTTGCAGTTGGTGTTCTTGTTGTCAAACATTTACCAAAAAATCAAACGAGTACATGAAATTTACTGCGTTTGATTGCATTTAAATCCATTTTCAGTGGTTTGAAATTGTTTCCGTAATGAATACCATTATCGAGAAAAAATCAGCTCAAGAAGTTACATTACACGCCGTTTCGATGTAATTATGATTTCAGTGGATACGATTTGACCAAATAAATGCAATGTTTGCTTTATAGGATGAATCGCATTTGCCATGTTCGAGGGGAATTCGACAAGCTGCTATGGGAAGGCAAATTTGGTTGTTAATATTGGTTTATTTGATGGTGATATTGTTGTGTTCACATCGTTGAATCAACCTTGACGAGATTGAACAATGCCAGTGAATGTGCACCGAACGCGGTTTAACACGGCCGTCATTAATTAATGGCTAAGTTCGACAGTGTGATAAAGTGATATTGGATAACCTCAGCTCACCAATATCTTGCACACGTCAACAATTTAAACAAATGTTCAATTTATTTGTTTTTCTCCTTCTGTTCCTTTATCTTCTTCTCGATTGAGCGATTGTTCTTCTTCTTCTTCCTCTGTGATATGTACGTATTATGTTATTGATAGAGAAGTATCAGCCATATGTTCATATAATTCAATATGATGACCACAACTCAGTAACTCAGTCACTTCCCAGTCGTTCCGCCAACGTGCATTATTCCCGTGGGCTCTATGAAAGGACCCATTGAATGCTTTATTGTCCTTCTCCCGTTCATGCTTCAAAACAATTGAAAATTGACACTTTATTCAGCAATTCTATGGTTTCATCCATATCATAAGCAACTTCTTCAGAAATTTATTAAATTTCTGCTATCACTGATACCTCACAATTAGCACTGACGGCTGTCTAACTTATTTTTTCATCACTTACATGTTTCCCATAGGAATAATGTCCGTTCGGGAATGTTCACTGAATTGATCCATACTGAGATGAACTTGTCAGTGTTTCATGTCATTCAGCGTGGTGTTTTACTTAAGAGATAAATATTTTTTTGTTATGTGTTTCACGGCTCACATTGCATCTGGAATGAAAATTTTTTTAAATTTTGACCCGCTCAACTGTTGTTTCAAATGAATGTTGTTGTTGTTTGTGCTTGACGGAAATCGATTGGTCGACTCGAGAAGTCGTGTTACGTCTGATGCTACTCGAGCGACTCGCATCAATTTTCGTCTTGCATTCAGTTCAGTTCTTTCTCAGAGTCGTCAGCAATTACCACTGTTTGTTTATTTGCTAATCTTAACCATTTCGTTCTATCGACCGACCGACGTTCAGCCATTAGCACTGAACGCATGCGTTACGAACACTCCACATGGCTCTAACGAGTTAGTAAGTTTGAAAAGCATGATGTTGTCTTATGCAACAATAAAGAAAAGTTTAGCTTCTAATGTACTGATTCGTTTCTTTTAATGAGCACCCAAAAAACTTCCCATCAACATGAAACAGTTCTTGTCTTTCAGAAGTTTCTCATTAGATATCAGATTAAATTAAACGCTGCTGCATCGTATAATTTCTTCCTCGCCTAGCGTCACGGTAGCAATTGGTTCATTCATGTATTTATGTATTCACATTTCCTTAGCAAAGACTCATAAATGCTCCGATGACACTATAATAATAATATTGGGACAAAATGGTTTGTCTTCTGTAAAAATTATTAAAATGATTGAAATATTCATGTCATGATTTTTGATTTGTTTATGATTTGGTGAATGATGGTGGATATTCCTGTTGTTGTGCGGATTTTTGTTGTGCATTTTCGCGCAACAACCTCAAATAAATTCATCTGTACTTTATGTGTAACTTGTGAAGATAACCACTGTTATTCAGTGGAAATCATTGAGCACTTCCATAGTACAAGATGCCTGGAACACCTTTCGTTAATATTCGATAGTTTTTCGACAGTGAACATCGGTGTGGATATCATCAACGTTACGAAGTCTTCACATATGAACCTGGCGGTCCTGACATTCTTTATTCACGTTCTTGCTAGTTTGTTGTATCACTGTGCCTTTGATAAGCATTCTCCCCGATAATCAAGATTTGTTCGTNTCAGTCAAAAATGAACATTCGCCTTTCTGAAGTGATACTTCTCAAGTTAATTACTAGAAATTGTTCATCTTGAAGGTGAAAAAAACGCCAAACGATTGCGGATAGAAATTTGCAACAAAAAAAACAGATATGAAAAAAATACGTGTTGGATTGAGTCATTCAATGAGGATGTTCGTTCTGTGATGTAATTTTTCTGCTGAGAGCATTTATACAGCCACGACAAAGTCATTCTAAAATCAACATTCGTCCACACCCTTCGGCTTCGGCTAAAATCAGCAATTAAATTCCTTTGATTAAAAGTCGACCCTTTGCTTGCACCGAGATTCTCCGATTGATTCAACATTACCTCATTGAAGCGTCTAATGGGAAGAATGGAGTAACGACGGAATATATCATTACATTATAAGTGCTACACTTGAACGTCTTTTTCGTCAACGATTTATGTTTTTCTGTGTGTTCTTACAATCGCAAACGAAATGGGGTGAATTAGTCTGATGAATTGCATACGTATTATATTTGCAGAGATGAGCTATCACTGTTTCGATCTTAAATTTGAGCGATATATCTTCGGCAGTGATGCTTTTTTGCAGCATTGGATATCGCATATTCATTGGAGAACATATCAATTGCATCTGAGATTNTATTTCTCAATTCTTTCATTTTTGCGAACAAATTTCAATTCAAAAAAATCTAAAGAAAACAAAAGAGGTAGGTATATGGTTCGAGTGAATGATAGCCCGCATTTTTTTCGTTTGAGGAAATTAGTCTCGATTACGCTGTTTTTTGGATTCTTTGGAAATATTCCGACTTTCATTGCGGGGGATCCGATAGAGTGCAGTAGACTACTGGAAACTGGTTTGAGTATAAATATGAGCAAAATTCATTCAAATTCATGAGCGAAATACTTTCCAATTTGGGTTGTGAGCCTGAACGATTGCTTGCTTGTTGGTATAATAAATTTTTTATGGATGAATGCGTTATGGACGTTTAAAGCATAAATAATTCATAATGTGAAGAGAACTGATTTCATTTATATATCTGCTACTTCAGTGCCTTACATTATCGCCAAGAACATATAATCAGTAACACACTCTTCAGTTCCTGAGATACTATTGACTGTTCATGAGACACTTAAGTATTAAGCAATCATTTAATGTGATGAATCCCAATGGAAGGAATATATGTATAAATCGAGAACGAATGCGGATGAGCAAAGGATTAATTTAAACTAATTGTTTACGGTGTTGTGGTGGTTGTTGTTTACGGTGTTACTGCCACTCAACGCGATGTTGTTGTCTCATCAGGGGGTGTTTCGAATGTTGGGGTAATTTGTTATCGGATAATCTTGAAACATTAGAAACAATTCCTTTGGGTCTGCAGTGCTCTTGATTAACTGCCAGCAGTTTGTGCCAGCATTTTGCTCAACACCTGATCGAACCTCAATTGTTTGTTAAACATTCGTTTAGGATTCGTCAGCTCTGCTCTCGATTTCTTCTAATTTCTCCCAGTAACATTGGTTTTTGTTCAGCAACTGAATGGAAATCCACTTCGTCATCCATGTTCATCGGACCATCTCTTGCGTGATGCTTCACTTATTCATAACCTGTCCACTATTTTTTTTGCCTCAAACGCTCATACGATTCGATGATTGATGGTTCTTGCCTCGTTTTCGGTTATCTTTCTCTGCGTAGTCAACAATATTCAGTCGACTGAACTGATCGAGTGTTTCTTCAGATTAACATTGATCAACATTAGCATTGACATTAGTTCTGCGCATGAAGAAAATAGACATCATACATTCTTTTTCCACAATTGGCTATTGGAATTATACAAAATGGATCCTGTGTCCACTTTTTGTTCCATTTTGAATCTTATTGTTGCACTCATTAATCAACTTGTACTGCCCAGTTTTATCTTCAAACATAACTCAACTTAGCTTGATGATCGAACCAG